AAAATTGGAATGTGCCCAAGGCAGTAAGTGAGCCTGATTCTCCCTTTCTCTCGTGTTCCTCGACTCTAATACTTCGGCTGGCTTAGTGTGCCGTCTTTGAATTCACACGATCGCAGTCTGCCAACTTTCCATACAGTCGAATCACAGTGTCACCCTACCGCGGTGGCGAGCCATTCCTTGACCTCACATTTCAATTGACTTTCTTCACCAGACCGTTTGTGACTCTCAACAGTCGGTACTTTCCGCTGAACTTAGACTTCGACTTTCCCCCCCTCCCCGACGCTCCAAACAATTCCAGTGAAGGCTTAGTAGGAACATCTGAGTGGCGCCGTGTCCACTTGGAAGTGGCGGGCAAGGCTGGCATAGTGAAAGCTTCCGGAACACTGGGAGACGGGAAATCGCTGCCTTGTCTCGGGGAAAGGGCACATTGGATATGGCTGAAGCAGGCACATATTCGGATTGAGAGCCCTGCCTTGCTTTGAGTCTGATTCGCCTCCCATGTCAGCTAGGGTGGATCAGATTATTGAACCACATTTTACAGCACCTATAACGTTCTGGAGCTATTCGCTCCAGCCATCAGTAATAGCAAGGATTTCGTCTACCAAAAAGACGCCAGTTTTAGCCACAGTATGCCATCTATCGTTGCCATTCGATAGATGACATGCTTTGTTCCTTGTAATATACCATGCCTATTTGTGTTTCAACACAATCTGCGTAGTCTATTGATCATAGATTAATTTACTCCGTACTTCATTATTACACACTAGAGATCCGAGTCCATTTAGTTATATTACTCTCGTCAACCACAAGCTTGACGTCCGTCACTACGCACAAGTTCTTGCTCCTCACCACTAGTCAGAGGGTCGCCGTCTATCGATTATCCGAGTACCTAAGCTTCTCAAAGAATTTGCTGGACATCGCGTTCCACTGTTATCGGCTAGCGGTGGAGAAAGACTGGGAAATCAAGGAGTTCTTGATATCGATGAACGTGAATTTGGACCCGATCCGGCTGTCTGAAATTCAACTATCAGATGATCAGAAGAAGCTGCGGGGAAAGAGGATTTTGGTTTTGATGTCTCATCATCTTCACAGGAGACGGGTACTACAATAAAACAAGCACATTGCTTTTAGATACACAAAGCCATTTTTCATCGCCTATCTCTCGTTGATGTAACTGTCGTTTTGGGGCTCGTGACCGCTCCAAAGTCGTCGAAATCAAAGCTTGTCTAAGCTTTTGTATTCAAGGAACATTCTCAGGCTGTGAGTACTTGTGAATATTACTCAAGATCTTGTTCCCTCTCCATCAACAGTATTACCGGTACTCAACGCAGGTATGTTGCGCCATGTGCATCGGTCAATGTTTTCGTCCAATTGCGTGTTGTAATAACGCACCAGATCGATTGAAGTATTCGGATTTTGGAGATTGTCTGTGCTTCGACGATGGGGCATCAGATCCGGACAGCAGCATCGAATACACGATCAGGCTGCAATCTGAGTTAATATTATTGAGTGCACGATTGAGCATCGCGAGGGTAGGCCTGGTTGCTATGCTTATTTCCCGGATCCGTTGACGACCGGCTCATTAGTCAGAGACAGAGGATGTGACTCGGTTGAAGCCCCGTTTGCAGCCTGTTGCTTGGTTCGAATCGAGGCAGCCTACGCTCAAGATGGTAAAAGACCTAAGAATCATAAACCCGGGGAGTCTCGTTGCGATGGACCAGGTATAGAACCGCTGTCCTCCGAGATACATAGATAGCGCGCTTAGTGGATGTTTTATGATGTACTCGATTCTTATCAACTCTTGCAGCTTGCCACGTACAGTATTACCTGGCCTCTTCACCCTTGCTTGATGCACAATGAACCGAGAATAATTGAGATAACATTTCTGCTTTGCGACCAGTCGCCGCCAGCCAGTAACTGAGCCGACCACGAAGTAGTAGAGTAAGGAACAGGATAACCCCCCACGAAAGAGATAATATGCGAAACCCAAAGACGGAGTACGATGTAACAGAATTTAGCACATTGCTCTGCTAGGTCGGCTAGCGTCTCGGTGTTATGCCGCCCCAAGCCCAGATTGGATGTTATCAACGAATGTTATATTGTGTGACATCGCGCAGTGCGTCCAAAACAGAATCAGGTTAAAGCGGTGAAGGTCACCATCCCGTTGTCCGGAGAGTAGGGTATATAGCCGGGCGTTATGCCTTCTTTTTCGAGGGCGGCAAAAAGAGAAGGGGTTAGACCGGCTTCTTCGAATGAAAGGTTGACGAGGGTTCCACTGGAAGATGGCTCAAACTCCAAAGATGTAGAACCAATGCCTTTCGCAATCCTTCTTCGAAGAGACTGTGCAATGGCAGAATCTTCATCGGTAGCATCTCCAGCCTGCAGATCCTGCAACCACAAATCCCGATCGATCCATTTTCCATCGGCAGAAAACGGAAGGCGAATTATGCAGACAGAGATGATGGTTGATTCGGCGTCATGACCCGCACGCGATCGAACGCCCGCGATCCGCTCGGCTTCATCCAAAGCTTTTCCACCTGGCGGCTTGAGCTGGACGGTTCTTGGTACGGCACCATTCGACATGGGACTTTGGCTGGAACCCATGCTGGAGTCGGAGCATTAGTCAAATATAAATATACCCAAGTGACAACACATACATATTGTAAAGTTACTGCTTGACAGATCAACGACGAAGAACTTCTGCTCTGTCGCACTTACGAGTGAGGCCCTGTTTCTATTTAAACCTTTCACGCCGTCTTCAAGTTACCGAGCGTATCGGCTGACTAACGTTCAGCTGGACGAGCGCGAAAGGCTGGATCCGGTCGCTCTCAAGACCCACTTTAGTCTTCCAATGATGAGGCTGAACGCAATCGCTCAGACCATGTTAGATATGCAGAATAGTGCTTATGTTCAGGCCAATCGAGAAATAGGAAAGGCTGCACAGCCCCTTTCCCCCTTGTCAGCCCGCCTTCCAACGAAAGATAATGGCTCATGTTTTCGACTCGGAACTACGATTAGGCGTGGGGGAGTAAAGTCTCGCGCCTACACCCAGTTGGTTGCCGTTAGCGCGCACATAATTCGACTCCTGAGCATCCTGTAGCACTTGACCACTGTACTAGGACCTTCACGCCATTTTACTAAGTTTTCCGAGTCGTAACTATCTACATATTGATCGCAAAGCTCACAATTTCGGCTTCGGAGCAAGTTTCGAATTGTCGGGCATACCAGCTACTTTTCTTCAATAGGAACAAGGCACAATTCTATGTAACATATGATAAGGTTTCTAAGCAAGCCCCGACCAACATGCCCCCACCAAGTCCACTCGGTCACAACGAGCCATGACAGCTAGAGCAGTCTTGGGTGCTTTAGCTCAATTCTGGCCTAGAGAGATAATAAAGGCCGCTGCATTTCTTAGGATCTCCATGATCTTAAAAGTGTGATCAAATATGTTTCAAGATTGTTCATGTGAAGGACAGATAATTTGTGGAACGGTCGATTTAATGTCTCAATGAAAGAAGTGAATGTGAACGGCGGGTCAGCGCTCATAAAATGTTATAATAAAAAGAGCGCAGTACAGGTAGATCAGTTCTTAGTTCAGAAAAGAGGGGCAGTAAAAGTCCCTGAAAGTAGAGATTCTGTCGTCGTGGCTAGAGACGGACGAATTGTTTGACGTTGTCGTACTGTTTTGTATTGTCAACTGACGTTACGTATCCTCTTGTCGTTTGTCATAAGAAAGACATTATTGATAACAAGTGAGCCACAATGTGGCGTAATAAAGTAAGTACACTGCTTTTGTTGTAAAGGGAACACAACCGAGCGGTGAGCTTCAGCATCACCGCTCAAGTAGCGGCCCCTTGGGCGGTGAACCACCCAGGCGGTGTATCAAGCCACACAATTATAGTCTAGTTAAGATAGTGGCGACAGAATGCGGTCCGCTTGTGATTTTCACTCTTCTATAGATTTGATCTTTACATTACTTTCCTCTCATTGGTCTCTTTAGGCGCAATAAACATTATTAGCTGACTGGAACGAAGAGTCCCTGCGATAGCCGCCCCCTCAAACGCTCATGGGCTTCGTTAACATGTACCGTATTTTAGACTACTACTAAAAGGGCGATTGAACAGACTGCCCGCAATCTCAATAACACTACAAGGGAAAAGCCTTCATTAATCATACATAAAGCTTGCAAACACGGCAAGCTGTGTGACGCTAATATTTGCTTGGCATCCGCATTCGAAGAACTGGTCAAATGACCACATCCCATGCCGATACAATTGGATTTCGGTCGGGATTCGCGTATCATATGGTTAGTGGTTCTAACGTGGTCGCTATCATAAGCCTTACTGATATCCGCTAGGAAACATATTATCCACGGCCGGTACATAAAACAGACAAGGACTTTGACGACCCAGCTACCGGTGAAAGTTGTGATGAGGCGAACCCGATCATAACCCGAGAAGAAAAAGGCGATGACGAAAGTGGAACAGGTGTCAATTGCTTGTTTGCGATAAGCATAATGCATGACTACTCATTGCTAGCAAACTTTCGAGTAATGAATCGAGTATAGGTACTCTGTTTGCCAGTTTTGGATAGTCCAGAGATTGATCATTATTGTTTCTATCCTCGATTCGGCATTGTCTTTAACTTTAGGGACAAGCCGATGATCAGGCCTCGTTTTCTGGTGGGACATATGAATCTTTAGTAGTGCAGCACTATAGAGCACATCGTCGTGATGTATAAAAATGAATACCTCTGTGCCCTAAGCCTAGTCAGACCTTTGATGCTAGAATCAAATCGGTGGCTTCATAGTCTCTCGACTCAAAGCATATTTCTCTGGTTACTTTCCATCATCATGCAATATCGGTTTGAGAAAGTGCCTTGATGCATAGCTTTTGGATTTTTATTTTTAGCTTTCACGACTGCCCTGGCGACACTACCGACTAGCACTTTGACGAGGTGAAGATCGCGAGGTCACGGATTTAACAGAATCAGGTACGATGAATGGAACCGAATTTACCAAAACTCACTTGGCTACATGATGTTTTGGGTCGTCCTCGAAGAAAGATAAGAAAGATATCACGTGTCGAAAGAGGCTGACCTGGATTGCTAATCACAGCCAGGGTGAAACACGTCTTCAATGAGGCATGGTTGCACAATCGTGTGACTAAGGATTATACCCTTTACTCTCTATCTCGTGCCACTTTGAAACTACAAAAAGTATAGAAGCATATTGACGCATAAGTCATTAAACATAAGGTGGGTTGCGGGTTCCTTCAGGTTGACCATCTATGCCCAACCGACATTTGCCATCATCTCTAGTCTCACTACCTACTCAAAGTGTCCCAATTATACGCGGGTAGAGCACTCGAATGCCATTCGCTCTAGTGCTTCGATTCTTCTAATCAGTTGACCCGCCACGTAGATCTCGCGTTCCTCCACAAACTCCATTCAGGCGGTCGCATTACGCTCGGCCGATACTTAGTCATCTCTGAAACGCAGAAGGTAATTCTGGAGCATCGCAGCAGCGTATTTGTCCGGCTTGACCTTGCGGGCGAATGAATTCGACAAGTAAACACTATCACCCAGTGACCAATTTGGGGAGACTAGCTACAAAGAATAACATATTGGCAAAGTATGAGGATTGACAACGTAAGGCTGATCTGGATGCTTCACAAAGAATTCTAAAGATTGTCCGTTGATATCTCTTCCGGTCGCTCGGGTCTTAGAATGGAAGAGAAAGATTCGTTCGGTACACTCGGCCCGGGTGCTGGAGCGCCGTTCTACAGTTCCTGGATCGTTTGTGGTATTATCAAGCTCGCCCTTCCTGAGCAGTTACTCCGTCGATGACATTGAGAACCTCAGGGAGGGTTATGCCACCCTTCGAACGCTCAGAAAAGTCTGGGTCGTCAAGACTTCTCCTATCATCTCATCCAGCTTGACTCTGGGAGCGAGTTTTCCACCGATATTGCGGTTCTCTGCTGGCTGATCCACATTCTCGAAAGCACGAATTATTTCTTACACTGCAAGACCTGTAGTATTATCAGTTTCCACGAGGAGATCGATAATTCTAGATAACGCTTGAAGATCGCCCTCCTGAGACTCGGCTTTGTCTGCATCAACCCATCCTTCTGTAAACCCCCCCCCAAAGTCAATGATGCAAAGATCATCATTCGCGTCAACCAGAATATTGTCCGGCTTTGCATCACCCCAAATGATTCCTGCGGCATGCAGTCTTCTCACCATACTTTGGAGCTGTTCTTTCCACTTTTTCCGAATATGCCAAGGAGTAGCAACCATATCGATATCTGCCAAAGTGCTGTGATGCTCGATGTATTCGAGCAGGATTCCCGAGATGGTGGCGCTGGTATGGTCTCCCTGGCCTTTCACTAGTTCATGTAACTCAGGAGTGCGAACAATATCTGACAAGCCCTGGGATTTGATATCGATCAATGCAAGTATCTCACGATCGGCTTGCTCACTGCAGTGAGTTGGTTTAAAGAATCGGATTGCACCAGACCCGACTAAAACCTTCTTTGGCCGCCGAGGAAAATTCATATCCGTCACATCCTGCAATATTTTGACTGTCGAAGCTTCGATGTAGGGAATCTCGAGCTTTTGAATAGGGGGAGACAAATTAGCCTTCGGTGCGAATTGTCCTATCGGTTGCTGACTTGACGACGACTCAACATAGAACTTCCCATCCACAGCTTTCGGAACAAGGTCAAAAGTTTGCATGTTGAACCAATCGTGAAGAGTTCGCACTCGAGGTTTTTGCTCCTCCGAAGATAAGAGTTTCATGACAGAGTTGCATTTGAATGCAATCCAAAAGCAGATATTTTCCATCGGATCACCCTCATCATTCTCTTCATCACTCTCCTCCCCAGCATAGTCCTCAGAATCCAGTTTTCGCAAAAGAGCCAAGTATTGAGCAGTGGTTTCGGAATCGTTTCGAAAATTTTTGGCGGAGACCGTGATGTGAAATCGTAGGCCGTAACATAGAATCATCAACTCAGTGTCGGTCTCAGCGCCGCGAAAGAATTCGAGAATGTCGTATTCTGGTAACTCTTCCATATCTAGTGGTTGAGTTATCAAAGCCAGAGCAAAAGATCTGAAAATTTACTATGCAGAGAAAACAACAGAAATTCAAGAGTCAACTTTGAAGTGACGATAGGATGAAAGTGACTTGGCTGTTCCAGTTATATCTTCGCCTTGCATAACAGAGAACACACGTAAGCTGGATTACCTAGCATAGTCACCTGACTCCGTGAGACTTGCCAGTGGAGTACGACTAACTATCGGCTTCCATCGCCCCACAATTGAGTTTGCCAAGAGTCACCTCTAACCCCTTTTAGATTAGCTGACCAATCGCTGACTCCAGAATACTGTTATCACAAACGCTTCAAGAAGATATCACACGAAGTAGGAGACAACCAGACAAGATTGGTGGAACGAAATAACTCATCACACCAAGGCGTCTAATTGTGACAGTTTGAAAGTAAGTGAGGTGAAGATAACACTGAGTATATAGGGCTCTAAGAATGCTGTGTTTGATGCTTTCGGGCTTTGTACTTCCATCCTCCTCTATTGAGATCATCTTTCCTACAATTTTCTATTTCTGGGCGAAATCCGTGCTGGCTGGTTCAAAACATGTGCAAGCGACAGAAGATCCAGTACCGCTGTGGTCATCAAGTGTATTCGGGAGGTATAGAATATTGCTCAAAGGCTAAGAAAGGCGCCGGTGGCAAGCGAATCAGGTGCGACCATCAGCGGACAACCACGATGCGCTCAAGCGGCGATGTTTGTGGAAAGAGTTCTTGTCAACTTTCAATACTAAGAGGAAAGTGGGACTGCTGCAAATGTAATGAATGTGGAAATAAATTCCCCTTATGCGATAGAGGAAGTTGCAACCATGAAGTATGTGGGCAATGCAGAGCAGCAAGATCATAGATGAAAGGTAAGTTTTCGCGGCGAACCCTACTACACAGTATGTAGATTGATTACGAACTGACCTAGGGAAGCAGCTGGTATGGAGTGCACTGGGAGGAACCACCTGAGTCGATTATCAACACCCAACATACCACACTAGACATCACTCCTGGTCTACTGTGTAGTTGGACGAGTTTTAGTTGTTTATGTTATTTGCTTGCTTGCTGTGCTTGTCTGAACTCACTCTGTTGTCTTTAAGTTTTGAGTCACGACGAAAATGCATGGAATTTGATGAGAAGCAGCAGCCCAGAGTCAGTCCATCGCAGAGCTTCTATGCATACTACTATTGTCGCAACTATTGCAGAATCGTTCAACTGATCCACGAAAATCGATAACAAACCAGCAAGCAACTCCCGTTCCACGCTCGGTGAAGACATCTGGGTCCTTGTTTTAAAATATTTGCTCGAGATTGCGACTGTTAGAGCTAGATCGCAAGCTTTTGGAGTTTTATTCTCCAGTCTTCCGAGACTTAGTCCTAATTACCGGCAGCGGCGGCATTCCTCTATTAATTTGGCTCATAGTAGGTTAGGTTTTAATGGTGTATCAACAACAATTCTACTCGGGTGCGGATGAGTAGGTGAAGGAGTCAGTGGACGTGGCCAGTAATAGTTATAACATCCAATTGTGCAAATAACTATACCAGTGCGCCTTGTCGTGTAATAATGAGGCTGCATTTAACAGATCGAAGACAATTAATAGCGAGAGAATATGGCTTTTGCCACCACAATCTGTACGTCTGAACCGGAAGCTTAATGCGTGGTGAAGTCGCCTAAGCTGGGGGTTCTCCACAGAAGAAAGCAAGCCCTTGATTTCAACAGTTGAACGAACTGTACCGCGCGCTCCAGTGGATGGTCGAATGGTTATCAATATACTGTACTATAAGTTATTAATGTTAGACAATTACGAAATCTATTAACACCTGCTAAGAGGGCATGGTTATGCCTTAACCGCATATGGACTAGTGCTTACAGCAAGACTACAAACAATGCCGCGAATGGAAGAAGAAAGAAATACTGACGCATCAGCATAAAGGTAAAATTTACAGAGGCGTAAATGGTGAAAACCGCAATATGGGATAAAGCTATTTACATGGTCAACTCAGGACGGCGAGCGATTCAGCCGAACAGAGAACGCAGGGCATTTGTCAACTGTTGTCCCCTGCTTTCATGTGTGGGTGGCGGGCTGTTCTCGCTGTGCCACAGAATCAGGACATGGTTATTTGCACGCGGCTAGCCGTCCAGGAAGAGGAGTATATCTTGATAGTGGCAAAGAGAGGGTAAGGTTTGGCTGCTGAAAAGCCGAAAAGTACAGTCTATGGGCTGTCGGACTCCCCTCATTCAATCATAATATATACGATTTGACAGCCATTATTTGAGTTTCAATTCCATAACCATAAGGAATGACACCTGCCTAAATATCACTTCGGTCGGATGCTCTGGGGTGTGGTGCTCTATTTTCAGGAATGGAAGCCCGGAAAGTGGATGCATACTGTCTGGATCAATTTCAAGTAAGACCTAAAGGGAACTTTGAAACATTGGGACGATCTTAAACTTCTGAAACAAACATGATAACTCAATCGGATCGAAAGCCAAAGCCAAGCCAACAGACATCAGCCGCAAACATCATCTATGACCAGCCCCTGTAAGAGTCGCCGCCATCATCGGTGGAAGTGTAGTAGTGAAACAATGTCTCGGAGATACTGGGCTGGTTGGATCCCATCATATAGTGACTGTAAATGCCACTGACATCTTGCATGCGATCACCGAGAAGCAGTTTTGTCCGAAAGAGTGTTTATGTGTTTAACCAACCCAGCAGGTAGTTCCAATTCTCGGTATCCTTCGGTTGGATACGTAAACCGATCGGTACCCTTAGGGCCGAGCTCTTCGTGCCAGTTGGAATGACTCGTAGCGCACCCTTTTTCTTCAAGGACCTTACCACCAGTCCAAGTGCAGTGCCCAGCATAATTGTTGTTGTTCCTTTCGATGGCCAGCATAACAGCTTCCTTCACAGCCTGCAGTCCCGCAGTCTTTCCCATGGAACAACGCTCATCAAGGCTGATATCAGACTTTGTGGCCGTGGCGAAGTAGTACATAAGGTAATTCGGCTCATAAGGCTTCTCAACATCAAGAATTGGACATGCCTCCTGAGACCCGAAGATGTACACATCCGCGTCATTGATTGCATCTTCAAGGCCGTCAGGTATTGTGTGATCAGTTGTAAGGTTGTTCCGATTGCCCATTTGAAGTTCTTTGACGAGTGAATCGATTTCCCAAATCCGGTCACTGGCATATTGCACGCCCTCCCTTTCGCCGACGGGCTGTGATTTTCGGAGAGAAGGGACATTCACGCGGTAGGTGCCTAGGAACATGATTATGGCACCAGTACTCTCCTCCATTTCTTCAAGTTTCAGTTTGATGCTTTTATGCATGTTCGTTGCTTTCTCATCGCTGCCCGTGTTGACGACATATACCACGTTGATTGTGGTATCGGCCCTTGTTCTCTGCGGCTGGAGAACTCCCTTCTCGAATTCGCCCGTCGGCTCTTGCAACTGCTCAAACTCGATCTTCTCAAATTTTCCGACACGCTCAAGAGAGTGGCGGGGGATAAATGGGACGTCTTCGATCCCTAGGACATGCTCGGGAGAGTCAGTCATGATTGTGGATGAAGATGACATGGTGAGAAAATGTATTTCTGAATAGATGCAAGATAGAGGAAGTGACTTGGAATTGAGACTGGTTGGAGTTTTTATCGGCTGATCCTGACGACTCTTTATATCTTCTGTAGGAGCTGACCAAAGTGTGCCTTGCGAGATGCCTCGCTACTTACATTTAATATTGCCATTTTCTTGCCGCTGCCTGCGCCCCAAGTAGATCATAAATCTTACAACAAAAAGCTAAAGTTTCCGAAGTCAGGCTTGCAAACCTTAATGATGAAATTACAATAAAAGTTAAACAAAATACGCTTTGTAATTGACATACGAGCTCGAGGGCATGTACTGACCAGTAGAAAAGCAGGTACTTAGTCACAACCACTTGGCAAAAAATGCTTTCAGCTAAAAAATGTTCCGGCAAATACACTACCCCTTTTACAGAGTGATGTAGGAATGTATGATTACTTGATGCGTGCTTTCTGTGTGTTCACCCACGAGCCCTGCGCGGATAAGCTCTCGATTGACACTTGGGCCGCGAATTAGATACAATGGACAGAGATAGCACGGCTAGTACGGATATATCCTGGGAGGTTTTTCGTCACGGAGGCGGAGTGTAAAGGCTCTCGAATTATAACGACGTGTTGGAGGCCAAGATATGGCCAGGAAAGGAGCACGTACGATGTCAGCGCACTAGATCATAGTTTCGCGGTCATGAAGGACGTAATACTCTCCGCCGCAGCTGTCAGGGACCTGATTCCTGCGTGAGGCCTAAAACATTGGCTGCATACTCTTAAATTATTACGTGAACGAGCTCTTTCACAACGCCGAAATGTGTCAAACTTGTGTATGCGGTATGGGCTCGAGCACATTCATGTCGTTCGTCACAGCTAGTGGGTACCCAACACAACCAACCCAATACTGGGAATTGGCTTGTCGGTAAGACTGGAGTGCACGTCCGGATCCTCTTTTATCATTCGCGACGACTGTAATACATGAAAATGAATCCCATCGCGGCCTACTAAGCCGAGGTACACTAAAACAGCCGCATCAGCCTCCATTCGCGATGTCTCAGTAAGCTAACAGAGTCATTCCCGTCACGGCTGGATGAGCTCCCCTTAGTGTGATGCCGATTGTATGGCCTAGGCCGCTATCAACTACTGGTCACTAGACTTATCAGCAATTTTAGACAAGCGCTTGCCACGCAATCGCTATGACCAGTGTCAGTGTCAATTGATAGAACGAGCTTGTGCACTGTGGTGGCAGAGGTTGTACTAACCTATACTGTCTTCTTACCTCATTCCAGAAGTTAAAGAGAGAATTGCCGAGTATTCCCCATGCTACAAGCAATAATAAACAATAATAACGAATAAAATAGCATCTGGATCTGACATGACGTAAACAAGCAAGAGGGAACCCCAGGGCGTCGGGAAAGGTCAGGTTTAGGTAGAAGAAATGGCAATTGCTTGAAGAAAGGATCTTAATCCCCGGGAAAAAGCGCACTCAGACTTCATAATACATAGCGTTGATTTAGATGCACTAGGATAGCAGGCTTCGTTTCTTGATTACGACCATCACCATTCTGATCACTACGAAGAGAATTCTTCCGACCATTAGTACTATATTCTTTCGAAGCCTTTGAAAGCCAGAAATCCCGCTCAGTCTACCACTGGCAAGATTCCGGCCCCTACCGGCAAGTACTGCCCTCTACGATTGGAACCTTGGACGGAGTGTGCTGTTAAGCAACAAGAAATCTACAACCTGGTCTGCCATTACTTAAAGCCATTGGGTAAAGATGCACCACGTCTGTTTGCACCGGTCATTGAGCTGGAGGGGCTGGGACACCGTTTCGCACGTCGGCCCTTGAGCAGCGAGAAGGACCTTGAGAGCTACGAACGTTTCGCTGTTGAAGATCACGTCCATGATATCATCTCAGCACTATGCAAAATACCGAGTGCTCGCGATCAACTCGGCTTAGGGGATGGGGTGTGGTTCGACAACCACGCCAATGCTCTTGACGAAAGTCCGCCAGACGAAGCAAATTCGGAGGAACGACCTGCGCGCCCCGACCAGTTCTGTATCCACCGAGTTGATGGAGATACCAGGGCCTTGTTGACTACAGTCGAATACAAACCGCCGCATAAACTGTCTAACGAGAACCTTAGGGCGGGACTCCGACCGATGAACTTTTACCACGAGATTGTCGAACCAGAAACAGTCCCTACCGACGGACCGGAGAAACTAAGGTATAACGCCGCTCGCCTTGCTGGCTCTGCGATCGTTCAGGAATACCATGTGATGATTCAGGAAGGTCTTGAATACTCATACTTGACTACTGGGCTTGGGATTGTGCTCCTATGGGTGCCCGACGACTGCTCGACTTTGTATTACTATTTGTGCGAGCCGAATCTCGACGTCGAGAGTGGCATTGAGGGCCCTCGGACAGCCATCGAGAGGGTGCTTTGTCTCTGCCTAATGAGCTTCCGTTCGACCTGTCGGGACCAAACCTGGCGGAATGCTGCGCGGGCGCAGCTACCAACATGGGAGATCAGCTTCAGCCATGCACGATCACAGATTCCACCGGGCGAGTTGCGGCAGAAGCCTCCAGGAGCCGATTACACCAGCCCGGTGTACTAGCTCGGAGATGACGTCATCTGAATACCAGCTATCATCTCCTTTCGAATCGCCTGCCTCCCTCGGTCGCCGCCCGTCCACTCGTTCCACTCGCTGTGCCCCTGCCGGGGTCAGCCGTCGAGAGGATTCTTCGGAGCCTGATGATGATTCAACATCTGCTGCGCAACGAAAGCGCGGCTATAGTGAGATCGCGTCCTCGCGGCCCGCACCGCGCCCCACGCCGACCTACCTAGAGAATCCCCCTCAACACTATGCCGGTCAATCTCGCTCACACTCTCATGAGTTCTGCACGCAACAATGTCTTTTGGGTTTGCAGCCCGGCGATGTCTTAGACCCACAATACCCGAATGTGAGACTCCATCGAGCTGCGCTGAAGACCGACCGTCACCCAATCCGAGTCGCCGAATTAGTCTCCTTGGTCAAGCAACAGTTGGACAAGAACATGGACGAGTAGTGTACTCCAGTCAGCCAATGTGGATCATACGGCGTGCTGTTCAAAGTCACTTGTGCTGCATACGGCTACACAGTGGTGGGCATAAAGTATCGCAGGAAGCAGAGGTCTATTGTATATTACAGAGCATCCAAGGCTCTGCAGTGCCGGTGTTTCTAGGGCTCTTGAATTTGGCCAAGATCTTTTTCCTCCACGGCGTAGGTGAGATTCGCCACATGCTACTAATGAGTTTTTTTGGGGGGGGGCCGCAGCAAGAGTCTCCGTCACGAGGATATCGATACCAACATGCAGCGGCACATCTCACGGTCGGAAAGGAGTATTCTATAATTGGGTGTCGTGCATGACGACCTTCGCCCAGAGAATATTTTGTGGAATGAAGAACTACGACGAGTATTGATTATTGATTTCCACCGGTGTCGCTTGAACCATCAACTGCTACTTCCGAAGCCGACCTCAAGTAGAAAGGAACGCTTGAAGAGAATGTATACAGGCAGGGATGAGCCAAGGACCAAACGCATGTGTGTCAATTAGCAGCATGTACTAGTTAAGAGACCCGTATGAATTTTCTATTATAGTGAAGCTCCGACCATGCGAATAGTCTTGCACGCAAGGCTCACTTGCCCACCAGGACTCTGTCTAAGAGCGCGATGATTTAGTATTCTCAACACCATCACGGAAAATGACACCTCAGAACACGGTGACTAGACGGTTATAACCAGTACCTAGCAGGTATAAGCCGAAATCAACAGACTTTTGAAGGATAATTCAAATCAGACTGTAATCTGGATGGGTTCTTTTCTTGCTCGCGATCTCCACCTTGGTACAAGCAGCTGTGCTGACTCAAGCGGAGATCGAGCTGTAAGTCTCCGACATGTGCCACTGTTATGTCGTGCGAGAAACCTTTTTATTGAGACTGATTCAGAATTATGTAGCCTCACCTATGGCTCCTGAAAACTCATGACCCGGGGTGCTTCAGAATTAGCGTCTTACAGCGGCTACAATAATAAGCAAAATCTCATGTATGGTCTCACGACATATGCCGTATTTTTTAGTTATTTTAAGGGGAACGTCATAATAGTGTTGACATAGGCACAAACTCACAGCACAAATTCAGGCACAGAAATCCTTTATTGCGTGCATAATTCTAGGACATATTGTTCCCTGTAAATTTCGTCTTGTGAGGGACATAGCCATGTGGAGGCCGACCGAAAAGTAAGGTCTAGCTAAGAGGTAGACAGGCATATGCACCGACTCATCTTCGCCTGGGCCTTCTGGAAAGTTGGTATTGTAGTGAGTACCGTCACGGAACCAGTGCATTGAAGCCCACGCCGTGCATTGATTTTTGCGGCCCATCATCCTAACCCCAGGCAGAGCAGTTCGATTCTTGCCCACTAGCACAGTACAGTATCATAATGAGGTTGAGACATCAGCATGGTCGGTAACTTCCAGCGAGCCTAGTGAAATATTTTTCTCTAATATTTGGCCATAACTACAAATGGCCCAGTCTGGGAGACGAATGGTTTTCTGGTTCCTTACCGCTAGGCGGGTCGCTACTGCGTAAATTGTAGTGGCCCGTGGTAGAAAATGTCGACTAGACCATGCCAAGTGAGTACTCACAGGTATACACCCCTTGGGTATACCATACCCACTTGGGTACTCTTACTCCGATGCTAAGAAGTCGACAGATTTCTCCTTTGAGAGAGAAGTAACGATATAAGACTTAAAAAATTTATTTAATCTCAAAGCAGGATCTTGAGTTTATAATGTGCAGGATACTAGACAGTATAAACGAGCCATCATATTCCATTGACCTTTTTGTGGCCGTTCGCGAGCTCCGAAGACTGACGGACATTTGAATCCTTGGAGGTGCCAGACCGGCTTCGCCAAGCCTTGGCCACCACCCGAACGACATTGGGACTGGATGGTTCCCGCTTAATCTCGGCCCGCGCCTTCGCAAGAAGAGGTGAAGAGCTGGCAAGCTGGATCACGACCGAATAATCGGTCACATTGTTATTCTCGATGGAAGAGAGACGAGGGAACACTGTCAGAGTATCGGAATCTCGAGGACTGTGCTTGGTACCTGATGCTGATCGGTCTTTATCAGGGGCGTCGAAAGCGATCCAGTCCTCGTCGGACTCGGGAGGGTCAAAGTCGGGCTCATACATTCGCTTGGAACGTCTGATTGGCTGCCAGATTTCGGCAGCCTTCCGTACTATTGCTTCTATCTCCGAGCATACCGAAGCACGTTGTGTGTCAGGGATTATGTCCTCAATGTAACACAGTACACTGCTAACAACATTCTTTATAATGGTCTGAAGTGACTTCTCCTGCATATCTGAGTTGATAGATTGCAATAGAGAGCGACAGAACGACTCTTTCTCATAATCAGTTCCAGCGAGATATTTTAGAGTTTTCCGTATGTGTGGGTCCGTAGGCAGGATATATATAGGCTGAAACACATGCTGGTTAATTTCTCTGGCGAGAATGGCGAGAACTAACGCCAATCGAATCTGTTTTGCTGCTAGAGAATTGGAACATGGCAAAGGAATTCGATGAGTACGAGTAAGATGAGACTCTCTCAGTTTGGACCATGCAGAAATATTCTAAAGAGTAGTTAGTTTCTGCTCATAAGTGCCACAGTATACATACTTGAAGATTTTCCGGTGGCAAGTCAACGGCGAATGCAGAATTTAACTTCGTTTTGGCGAGCTCCCAAAGTCCTGTGAAACTGTCTATTCTGTACGAGAGTTAGAAGATGAGACAGCATACATTGAGAAACATACAGGGTATTTTCCTCCCCATCAAGATGACCAATAGTGAAGCCCTCAATTCGGTATAGTCTGGCTTGGGTGTCACCAAGGGAAGTTTTGAGGTTCTGGTTCGCTTCCTTGATGTCCGAATTGATCTTCTCTAGCCTTGTCAAGCAATCATTAAGATCAGTCTTGTCTGATTTGAGGTCGGTGATGATCGTATCTTTAGCCTCGATTGTGCCTTGTAATGTGCCACATTCCTGCTTTGTTCGCGCCAGGTGTTCCGCCTGTTTCTTGATCTCAGCTGTCAGCTTCTTTACTTGGGTATCTCGGTCACGAAGCTCTTGGATCTGTTTTTCAACTAGGCTTTCCTTCTCTTGAATAACCTTCTCGAGCTTCTGGACATGAGCCATTGTCTCGCGGTGCTGGCTTTTTCCCTTTTCATTGACTTCAAACATCTCGTCGATGGCCACCTCTTTTTTACCAACCTTAATGCTCATCTCATCCAGTCGACTTTGAAGTTTCCTGTTGTCTTCATAAATATTCATAATTATTTCATACCCTGCTGACGGGGATAGTGCTTTAAGTTGGTCGAAGAAGCTCAAGATAGTCTGGGCTTCGGGGATCAGACTCAAAGATGCTGCGACTGCCATATTTGGGTTACCGCAAGACATGGCTGACATTGAGAATCAAAGGATCTGTGATGTGCAAAATACAAAATAGAGGTTGTTATACCCTACAGCTTGAGTAAAATAACACGGTAAAACTAGCAAGGTCAACACGGATTATTTATCGTAGAGAGCAGGTCAAAACTGCTTGCTAGAAGCTCCTACATCTCACTCTCATTTCACTCTCCATTGAGTGTGCTTACGTTGATTCAAGGCGAAAGTGAACAAGGGGGTTGTGGCATACTCCATATGGCTACCACACCACTGGTATCGAAGTTGTCTGGCCGCTCTCACTTCAAGTCCTCTGGCGTATCTTCCAGGTCAAAAACATCAGACGTCAAAGGATAGCGATATGATTGAAGCTGCCTTAGGCTGGCTTTTGAAAGTGAGGCTATGCAACGTGTCGCTCAAACAAGCGCATACCCCGCAGTTCCTTGTCAGTCGACGGGAAATTTCTCCCGACGGGTCGGAATGGCCGGATGCATCTTAACTGGTGGAAAGCAATTCGCGCATAAATGTATCAGAATTTGCAAACGTTGCCGAGCCTGCCAGGATATTTCTCGTGAGTGTTAATGGTTTTCGAATAAAAGGTGCGATCGAAGAGGGGCGGAATGGAGTATCTAACATAGTTCCCGCTGGCATCAACCCGTGGAAAAGTACATGTTCATTATTTAGACAACAGAAGCATGAATACAATCTTATCCTGAGTAAGAAACGTCGGTCGAGTATTTAAGTTAGTTCAGACCTTATAAGCGCATAAAGTCGAAGCTTGCACGGATGCTGACCAGCATTTCCCGACGCGACATACGAAATTAGATTTCTGTTACAGGCAGGCAAGCATTCAAAGCTCGAAACGAAATTTAGAGAAGCGATAAGACCATATCGAACCGTGTAGGAACATAGAAAATCGAGCGCGCAAAAGCAAGCTATTACTGGAAACCGGAGAGGAAAAACATTTCAACGAGCACCGCACAAACACAGTAAGCTTAGATAAGCGATGTGTACCAGTCCGAATGACCGCGATATCCGCTTGGCTGCGTTGGCTTACTGAGATTCTCAGATATCATAAATATCACCCGTCCATCTAGCAGAATATTGCGTGAACTGGTACTTTTGCTGTGTACTCCGCCATGGCGGAGACTGTGCTGGATTCAGCGAAATCATCATACGGGAGCTCAAAGATGGAAAATCTTTCAGAAGATCATGAAAAGAGCCCTGTAGCCGCAATTTGTCAATACTGTAAGCGGCATATTGAGCCAGCCAGTCCAACAATGTATCATTTTGAGAAAGTTTGGAAAGACAGAGCCGTAAAGCATCAATCACTGCAAGTTGCTTGTCGAGCCCATCCGGCTTGTCGAGGTCCGCGAAACAGGCGGTCACCTTCTCGTAGGCCAGTTTTTGAAGTTCAGGAATAATATAAAGATGGGAGAAGATATAAAGCCGAATATGGACAAGAAGAGGATGATTCTCCGACGTGAAATCCATTTCTGGAGTTTTTGTTGTAGGCTTATCCTCGATGTCTGTGTCGACCTTTTCCGGGTTAAACGAGGGCGGAAGAGGCTCCAAAATGATGATAGGAGTAGGATAATCCCCTCGATATGCCCATTCAATAAACCGAGCCACTGTTCCCTCTTTTACATCTTCAAACTCGTACAGGAAGTTCTGTCCTTCTAGGAGCGTACTATCCAAAGCTGCAATTAGCGGCCTGGACTTTGATTGAAGCAGTTTCCGATGGATTCTAAACGATCGTCCTGTCTGACGAACTCGAAGGGACACGAAATCCGAGTCCAAAAAGCTGACGAATGTAAGCATCACCTATGTTCATCTTGAATAGAGACATACTCGATGTATGCTATCTCATTTGTCCCTGGCATCTTTTCGTCAGCTAATTGAGGGGAGGGTGAGGTTCTGCGTGCGATAGGTGAAGGATGGTTTTCTAGATAATCAGACTGCGAAGCTTCTCTCAAAGGTAGCGACCTCAAACTTTTGCGCTGTTTATTCTTTTTGCTCCCGATTATATCACTACTCAACGAAAACATAATCAAAGAGCATCCTACTGGTTTTGAAGTGTCTGACTTCCGCTGATCAATACGTGTTCTGTTTCTATTGGTTGAAGATTATGATTCCCGGTTTAGAAAGTGGATTCTTTCCCAAGCTGCAGCGGACTGCTGGCTTCGCCCACCCTCGAGTGAGCGCGAATCCATAAGAGAATTATTGCAAGCTGCCCGCGGAGTCTTATTCACTAATCAGCATAATGGCCAGAGTCATGGTATCTCTGCCTAGATTACTTATTTAACCTGGCTGGATGTACGCCCCTCAATGTCACCGGCAACCCGGATATTATGTCTCTACTGCTGGAGCATAAGCAAGCAGACCCGAATATCCCGGATAATGGGGGTCTCACTCCACTTCACGCAGCAGTGAAAAGTGGGTGGTTGGACCTTGTGAGATCACTCATTATTGATAAAAGAGTGAATTTGAATATACAGTGCAATGTTGGATCAACTCCCCTGGGTATAGCTGTTTTGAGAGATAAGCCGGAAATAGTGAAAGTCTTACTTGACGATGAAAGAATAAGGTGAACATAAGCGACCCTTCACCTTTGTGTTGTGCTGCTTCAACAGGGCGTATTGTTGTTGTGTAAATGCTACTCGAGTCCGGGAAGATGGACCTTAGTGTTGCAGGCTATACGGAATATGCAACTGCATTTATTGAAGCTGCATATATCGGATCCCATGAGATGATGAGAATGATTCTCGCGCATGATGGAGTGAAAGTAAACTCGGAGGACTTCGGGTGGAAGGACTTGCTTGTGTACGCTGTGTTGAATGATATGATAGGAAGATATACCTATCGGTGGATAGCCCATATCTTGATTACTTGGTTGATTAAGTAATAGGAGACCAGATTCTAGAGAGAGATTTTATTGTCTAAGGACTTAGATATCTTTTTTAGTCCTTAGTGTTACGTATTTTTCTTGATATCTTAGTATTCGTGTCGAATAATAGACACGTACCATTGCCTGCTCGGGGGTTCGATTGCTTAGTTATAACTTGGGAAGCTAGATAGCTTGGTTGAGGGGCCGTAATGGCCACCTTATAGAAGAGACATTTATCGCCTCCACGCTTTGGTAAGCTAGTCAAGCAAATGACGCGGGTGTTAATAATAGACAGCATCAACGAACAACAAGTCATAATTTGAGGGATTGGATGATCTTCGATTCCTTTTGTGAATCAATGAATTAGGTCTTGCCGAGTCATCGCGGATTCGGTGTCGGCCCGAGCGGAAGGTCAAAAGGTCGGAATGACTAAGGAAAGCCCATGAGACGTGGCCACCTGTTCCTGACAGTTTCACCGCTCATTGCCCCTCTCTCGGCATATTGCTATCAACCACAATCCTGCAGCATGAGTAGTAGTACAACCCATTTGGCTTTGCTTGTTATTTTTCCGAGCCTGTCAGAGGTCCTCCTTGAACCCAACTCTATGTACTCTTTCTACTGGGAAGTCTACCTTCCTGACTGGTATCTAGTTAAATTGACTTACGGATGGAGGATGCTAGTTAGTTCAGTTTCTACTTGATCAAAAAGGGTTACGCTGCACTTTAAGATGAGTTAGTCCAGGATTAGGAAACGATATCTTCTCTATCGTCTCTTGGCTGGAAGGTTTTCTAATAGTGTGTCAGCTGCATGATGATCAATTTCATTATAGAGTTGGTCAAGTCAATGTTCCCGTTTCCGTGTTAGCCGAAAATCGGTGAGTCTTATTCGCGCAAGCAGGAGCCCGCCGTGCCCATTCTGTCAATCGTTGGGAGGGCTCCTCGGATGGTTACAATACTGAACAGAGTAAATATATTGCACAAAGAACCGTGTAGCCATAATTTTGCCCAGAGATTCCTCAGCTTGTCATACTTGAGTAAGAATTTCCGGTTTGTCGTATCTCGTGCGCGGTCATGGCGGGATGCAGCCACACGAGGTTGGATTGGCGTTAGATTGGGCAATTCCTGGGCAATGAATTATACAATGTCTAAGAATTCATTGCGCAGTACTTACAAGATGTTCTGTATTGAGTCTTTTATTCCTTCATACATCATAGAGACCATTGAGAACAAACTTCGCAATAACCTCAGCGGACTAAAATGTCTTCTGGATTATTCTTCTTCTAGCATAAAACCATCATTGAATGCGTTGGTTAACTTTTCGTGCAGCCTTTGATCGGCTATCCTGTTCTCCGAGGATGAGCTTGACTGATATTTCAACTCCAGGCTTTTCAAGCAACCCTCCACAGAAGCATGGTCTCTGACGAACTCCTTCAACGCAGAAATTTTCTCATCATTGTCAAACATCAAGGTGCGAATCAGCTGCGTCAACATTCCCTTGTATCTCTGAGTAGATCGCTCTGCAGAGATGAGTGCCGATTTTCTACGTCGGTCTTTGGACGGGTCAAAGATGCAAGCTGATCCCGACCGAGCGCAGGCGTGACAAGGTGATGAGCCGACGCACTATATGAGTGTTCAGTCGCATTTGAGGACTTGTGGGTTCAGATTTCCTACCTTGACACGTTTCTTGCGACACTCGAAACAAGCCGAGGAACGACGAGATTGAGCGGAGTTAGAGCCATTTTCACTCCGACTCTGAGACGAGGGCGTGGAGTCAGCAGGGAGTAAAGGCCGAAATGCTGATATTTTCGCCATTGCCTTGATCAATTGTGCATCATGTTACTATCATGACCACCGATTGGACTAATCCATTTATACTTACCACTTAATTAACGCAACTTGTGTGCCTACGGCACAATATTCTGTAGCTGCTCAGAGCCGACCGAGGATTGTTTATTCCACATGGTAGACACGAGAGCCATCGAACTTATAATCTCAGTTTGAGGACCATTTCTCAAAATTTTGTTTGCTATCATGTTTGCCGAAGCAAACAAAGAAAGCGCATGATCCTTGTCAGTACGACAGTGACCGGTCCGAGCAATAGTCAAACTGCGATCGGGCAGCTGGCTTTGTTTCTTGTTTGGCCCCTTTGTTTCTTTCTGTTTCGACAGTAGCAGACGGGTGAACTCCTGCTCGAATCAGTGACAGGCAGAGAACGCAGGATACTTCTATGTTTGTTACCGAGCGAGACTATATAGGGTTCTGATGACAAGCGGAGAAATGATGCAAAATCTTCTTGTGCTAGTCAGAGCAAGCCTCACTTGAAGTACCGTCCTCTAATGCCAGCCAAGATGTGCCCGTAATACTCGCGGGTGGGATTCCCGCGGTCGGTGGTAGCGGATAGGTACTTAGAGACAGTAATGAAGTTAACTAAGGTAATCGGCAAGTAATTATCCTACTCGAGAGTCAAGTTTTCAGTCGTTATCGCCCTGTGGTACCTTATATCGTCATAAGTGTCAATACTAGTTTACGCATGCTCGCAGGACCAGAAAACGATGAAGACACGCAAAATCATTGTTCATGCAATAACTGCTAAATGTGAGTGATTTGTTCATTCCAGTAGGGTTAGAAAGTGCTCTCTGGCGCGAGCAAGCTTTAACAAGGGTAGTGAAGGGCGGGCTTGACATGCTGTAATTCCACGCACAAAGGCAGTGTGGCTGGGCTAATCTGTGGTGTGATCACACAATACGAAAAGGTACATCGAAATGTGAACATCGATGCTGCGCCAGATGTAGCTTGATACGTACAGTGCTGAATGTTTGTTACCGGTCAGCTAGGTCATAATACAGGCTAGACGATACAGTTCGTACCCTGTCAACCAGTCAGCCTTGTGTTGGTGTAGCAGGACAGTCTCATTGAGTTGTCCCGCGAAGAGCTACCCTTTATCCAAGAGTCCGCACTGTCGCACCAGACTCCTAAGCACTCTCAGGAATTGCCAAGTCCAAATCGTCCTGTGCTAGCTAGGTAGGGGCAGCGAAAGTACAGGCGCAGCTGACCTGGCCTCCGACAGCAACCATTACTTTTATTTATGGAATTTCAGCTTGAAAGCGCGTTACCAATACCGTTGGGGAACCAAGTAATGGACACTGGAAATTGTCTACAGTGTTACTCTCATCAGCGGTTGTAGTGCCGTACCCTTCTGGGGTCGTGTGGCGACTTCTTGAGGTTTGCTTGAGGGCTGCCAGTAGGGACGGCCTCCAACGATCTGCTCAGGGGTCATTTGCTGTTTGTGACTCCGGCCTGGCCTAGAGGGCTTGATTTCCTCTCGCAGATTCGCACTTTAGACGTGAAATTTGCTATTCGATTTTCAGCTCCTGGATTTCTGCTCTCGCGGACCCGATTATCTCTGTGTGGTGTTAAGCGTCACAGAAAAGCTGGTGAAAATCTGTCGGACGCCCTGATTTGTCACCGCTCATCGCCTTCTCCGCAGGGTCGTCAATCCAGGGCTCGTGATTGGGTTGCTCTCTTCTCTGTCCTGGCTGCTACGACTCTGTGCGAGCATACTCTACAATTGTCCACGGGAATCCTTGACCGGTGTGACATCAAAGGGGCAGGCATTACATACTTCTTTGAGTGTTCAAATCTAGTCGCATTCAACAAGCGGCTACTCTTTATCCCGACAGCTCTACCACATGCCGAGAATCAGACGCGCAGGGATTACACGATAACCACCAATCCGACCAGTACACCACTCCTTTGGTTCAGATGAGTTTCATACCGATGTCTACGAAACCCGAGAATATAGTGCCTTGCACAACTGCCATGCCTACCCTGAAGTCTGCAAATTTGTTTCCCAGAACCTAAGCCGTAATTGTAATTGGTTTTGCAGGCTCACAGACTCACAAATAGATCATCAAACCGCCCTTCAAGTACGTCGATCCCAAGGAAGTCATATCTCCTGAAGAATGTGATACTGAGGGATATCGTCTTGTAAAGAGCCAAAAAGTGTTTGTAGCCCGATTCGAACCCCTGAGAGCGATATCAAAGAAATCAATATCGTGGTAAATAAAATTTGTACATTGTGTCTGAGCAAGGCGGTTGCGACCTAACGTATGCCGATAAACACAATATCCTTGAGACGTCGATAGTGTAAGAGGTGTCTCCGATTCTCAGTGCTATTTTCGAGAATCCGATTCAATCGCTTGGGTCGACTTTGATTCATGATGGAACTTCGAATATAGATCAACTGGTAACATCCTGCTTCCATCTCTCGTCCAAACCTCCAGATGATTTTTCCGACCGTCGTGTTTGATAACTGCGCTACCGTCGTTTTCTCTCACCACTTTGATGATATCTTTGATCAGTAAGACCAACATTTGAAGATCATTCGCATGGACTTTCTCCCAGTTATTGATCTCAAGTGTCGCGTCTTCGACATCCGGTGGGTAAAAGACGCCGCCTTTGTGGTAGGCCCGGACAAGGTTGGTTGTTTGGGAGACCCATAATTGTGGGAGGACCTCTTGCATGCCGATAGGCTTGTGTAACACGCGTGTCTTGATCTCAAGAATTGAATGGACTGGTACATGTTTGCCTTGCCTCCTGGTCCCTAACTTGGTCTTAGAAGGAATGTCGGACGGATTGTCGGTTTGTGCAAGAGTTAATTTGCCCATCATGTTTAGTAGATCTCCATTTTCTGACTCTACCTGACCTTGAGGTTCTGGAAGCTCGATATAGGCGTCAGTTTCGTAGCGTACTATGAGCTTCAAACCACCAAAGTCGTAGGAAATAATTCTATGGTGACCAGTACTGCCAGCTATTTGAGAAGTGGTGAATGCTTTTTCAAACTCATGACCGTAACCCTTGAATTCGTTGGGCTTGATAAAATCTATTGCTTTGGTTTCGGCCCGACAAAAAATCGCTGTATCGTTCGTGACCTCAACCTCGATGGTAAAAGGTTTAAGTTCATGTTTAGACAGACTCGGATTGATAAATGCGAGAAGTTTGCGAAGGTTATTTCGATCAGTTATCAGGTCAACTGCACATATATCGTAGGAGGGATTTTCGATGTACAGCGAACGGAAAAGTGGCTCAAGTGGACTTTCAGGGTAGCGAGCCGCGTTTTGAGCGACGTAAATGAGCCCAGAATCCTTGTCTACCTTTTTAGAGGATCTGGGTGGAGACCACAGAGGAGGACAACCGGGAACGGCAATTGTCGGGGTTCGCGATTCGATCCAATTATACGAGGATAAATGTTTCACATTCGTGATGGATGGCCTCACAGCCTCAAGATCCGTAGACTTAGGCCGATATATATCTGCAATTCGAAGAGAAGCCATTGTTATCAACTGTCAGGACGCGGTGATTTATATTGAGGTAAATGAAGCTGACTCTGATTACATAGAAGAGGTTCATTTTTAAACACAACTTGGTAGGAGTTTGCCCCGCATTTGAACAACACATCATTGCATATGTCGGATAAACTTTGATCCATTGTCTTCAAATGGTGATTACTCTAACTGCCAGAGTTTGAACTAGAGCATGTTGATTAACGGCTTAGCCTAGCAGGAGTGTGTATTTTCGGTACTTGACCAGACAACTATAGCACTATGCCAGCTGCTGAAAGCTGCCTCATCCCTCCAAAAAGATCTCCTGGGTTGCGTGGCAATAAGTCTAACTATTGAATAATAATTGCGGTCACATCGTTTGCTTGGCAACTCATCTTGCTTTAGGTCTACTTAAGCACCCGGGCTGCAGAACGAAACAGGGCAAAAAAGCCAACATAAGGCCCGGCGAGGTGTTTCTCGTCAGAGAGGTATTTTGGATCTGGCGTGGTTATCATCTGGCCAGGTGCGACGTCCAGCAACAGTTTAGGCGATCCGCTGGTAAATTCTGTCTAGGATATCAACACCGCCTTCTTTCCCGAGGTTCAGGTGAGACTGTCTCCAGGCTCGGATTAGTTCTTATCTTAATGCTGACTCACCTGCGTGATGACATGCATCGCGTCATCTGAGTTGTCTGCCGGACATGCTCTGCCTGTGTTAGTGTAAGGTAAACTCTTATGGGAGCAAAAGTTAATGACCAATTTGGTGTTGAGTTAATGAGTACACTACAGAACTAGACGCACAATCGAGAGAATCTTTCAAATCTTTCAAGCTGAAGCTGCCACTGGAAGCAAAGCGCCCAAATGCCATCACAGATAAAAGCGTTAATTCCAATGAGTTGCTTTTGCTTCAGCCTCTTCGAGCTTCCTTCCAGCCTGCTCAAATTTCCTCAGCGTGTATTAAGATCCATTAGAAGCTCTTAACAGATTATCACCAGATGTTGACCATCGACGTGTTCTCGATGGATTCAAGGCCACTGCGTGTGCAGGTCAGCGTGTCCTTCGAAACATGTACCTAACTCGAGTACGCACCTGAATGTGACTGGAAGCTAATCGTCCCATTGATCCAAGTTTATTGAGGATACCACTGACTCTACCGTGCGATGATCTTCCAACAACAGGTGCAAGACAGCTTCTGCTTCTCGAAGGCATTCGAAATCCTCATCCTTGAATACCAGCAAAGGGCCATTGTAGATAAAATTGTCGCCCTTATCGATGAGGATCTGATGAGCTGTCTCCACATTGAACCATTTCAATATATTGTATACGACGGTCACGTTCCCAAACCAAGCACCATCGGCCAGATCCTGACTTTTCCTGCATTCATCAGGCATATCTTCTCCAATCATTCGTAGTGCTCCGTGAGGACAGATCGTTATGGAATCTTTGATTATCACGAGCTTCGATTTCGCGATGGTAGCCAAATAGGTCTGACTAGCTTTTCTTGCCAACTCAGGCTTCCCTGAGGCCGCACACTTTTTAACCCACTTCTTCAGGGGCCAAAAGTATTCCGGGCGGCAGCGACCGCAGGCATCATCACTGCCGATATGATGTTTTGTCATCTGTCCTGTTTGAAATGCTGGACAACCCTCTGGTGAGAAGCTGTTTCAAATCAATCTTGAAAGTGAAGAAAGGAGGAGAAGGATAGGGGAGACTACGCCATTTAGGAGCCAATGATCTGACTATATACCTCTGATGATTATTTACAACTTCTTTGCCCCTTCATTCTTCCCGTTGTCGGGTCCTCTTCAACAAGAAGCTGGAATGAAATGTCGTGAATGCTTCATTCCTCCCATCACTGCAGTCTGATCAGTCTAATCTCGTTCGGCCGCGGTCAGTGGACTATACGGAACTAGATAGCCTTTGGAAAAGATACTGTTCAATGTTAACAATCTTAAGAGTCTTGATAGTGAGCTCGTGATTAAGATACTAGTTCTTGCGGCACAACAAACCTCTGACAATGATACATACCTGTATGGCAAAATTTACAGTATGTAGATGCTATTGATAGCAGGAGGATAGGAGCTGGCCAATGCATCCTTTAGAAAGTTCAAGTAGAGCGGACTTGCTGTCCCGAACAGTCAAGATGTAATAGCGCCCGGGATGAATACTGCCTGCATTATTCGGGTCATCCACTAATCGGCCAGGGAGCTGAAAGCTCGAGGAATACCACTGCGATTTCAATGGGTCCCGGGCCACTGCGGAGATCCTGGAAACGAGGTGGCCGATCGGCTGGCCGAGGACGCAGTGGGCATAGAGAAGAAGCACTCTTTCGAACATCTCCTCTCACAGGAGAAAGGATACATACGCAGGAAGATCTATCAAGAATGGGAACCAGAATGGAGGACCTCGAAAAGGGGAGGGCACCTACGCCATATCGACCGAGGCCTGCCATCCAGCAGGTCTCGCCGTCTGTATGGCTCGCTTCCGCGGAATCGAGCATACCTGCTTATCCAATTTTGCACAGGCCATTCTTGGCTATGGCGAAATATTGGAGGAGGAGTCAATAGTATATCAGATATGCTAGGGGAAGCAGGTCAAGGTAGGGAAGGTAGGCTACAAGATGTCCCGCCGGACAGCAGCGTCCTCGGGGCGGTACTAGACTATGCGGAGGCATCGTAGAGAATTCGAAGTCGCACGCCACAAGGGCGGCAGAACACAATCCCAGGCACTGGCCAACGCAGGCCTTGACGAAGCTCCAAATTCGTCAGGAAGATAATAGTTTACAGCGAAAAAGAGTACATAGAGACAGCTATAGTGGATCCCTGCATATCGCCCAAAGCGAGGGGCCAGCGTATGAAACATCATCATCATCATCATCATCACTGTATACAATGTGTAATCTGCATTGACTATCTTCTATTCTACAGTAATACAGTCTGTTCAGAATACGACTTTTACTAAAATTACACCATCCCGCTCAATAGTCTACCCGAGCTAATATCTTGGCATTAGCTCCGAAAAACATTCATGGTGTGTTTATTGGTCAAGCCAATTTCGAGATCCTCTA